GTGCGTGCGGTAGAGCGCTCAGATTACATTGGGAAAACAGGCGACCGCTGCAAATTGTGCTTTAATGTTTAGCTGGTCAACTGTATGGTATGGAAATCTTACATACCTACTAGATGAACCCGTCTCATACAGCTGCCTTTGCAAGGCTCAGACACTTTGTAGAGAGGAATTTAACACAACTGCCTCTAGGAGTCGCCAATGGAAAAAAACACACACGCACAAAAAATGTGCGTACGCCTGCCAGAAAGCTGCCGTAAAGCTGCGCACATTCCCACGTTCAGTTCATTGTTAGTAAATCCAAACGTGAGCGATTCTGAGCGTGAAACGTGGCGTACGCAAAGTTTTTGTGCGTACGCAGCGTTGATACATGAGGCCCCTGGTGTCTTGCAGATTTTAGCTCTAACTTGCCTCAACACACCTGCATGGGTTTGTCCAGAAAGCCTAATAAGAGCTTGATTAGCTAGCCCAGGTGCTTCTGCTTGTGGTTGAAACTAAATTTTGCTGGACACCGGCCCTCCAGGACCAAGATTGAGGACCCCTGCCCTAATCCATAACTCTGGTAATCCAAAGTTCCTGGCTGTCTGTCTGTCTGTCTGTCTGTCTGTCTGTCTATCTATCTATCTATCTATCTATCTGTCTGTCTATCTGTCTGTCTATCTATCTATCTGTCTATCTATCAATCTGTAATCTACTGACTGACCTACCTACCTACCTTGTTTTAGCATTGCAATCTTCATGTTGTGACTGCTGCTCTGTCAGTCATTTCCAAAACAGAAATGAATGTGTTTTTGAGTCACAACAATAACTTCACTGTAGCGTTCTTGATTACCCCCTCCCATCCTTCCTTACTGCAATCAAACATGACATGTCCACTCCATTTTGTTGCATTTGATTGATGCTCAACATGAGCAAAACATCAAAAAAAATGTAACAAACTCGAAAGCATACAAACATTTAAAAGCATTTTGGATGAACACAGCTCTGAAAATATTTACCTAACATCAGTTTACTTGCATTTTAACTCTTCTTGGTAAGTTTTGCAGTACATTTGCAATTAAATGCTTTGTTGAACTCCCAAGCTATTTTCAGTAGAACCTTGTGTGTTAAAGAAGGAGATGAGTTGGAATGACTGAGGTACACTCTTCTGCAAAATTAATTTAAACTGCACAGTAATGGCTGAATGGATTTTATATGACCAAATACAATGAATGGATTTATTTAAATGCTTAAATGAAATTTAAATAAATAAATAAATAAATATTAATTTATTCATATATATATATATATATATATATATATATATATATATATATATATATATATATATATATATATATATATATATATATATATATATATATATATATATATATATATATATATATATATATATATATATATATAAAAAGTGTAATACTGGGGAAGTATGGTGATTTTAAAAAAAAACTAAGAACAAACTTTTTTTTTTTTTTTACCCTGTCTATTTCTATGGAGGACGAAACCTGCAAAACAATAAATAAATAAAAGTATAAATATGTAAATATAAAAATAAAAATAAATGAGTAAATAAATCCTTAAATCCTACCATAAATAAAATAATAAATAAATAAATAAATAAATATCTGTCTGTCAATCATCAGCAGGCTGTCTTTATGTCATCATTGGTAGATGCTTCTTTTATTTTGGGAAAGAAAATATCCCTCTCCTCCCTGCATAAAGCGCCCAAGATTACCTTTTAACTTAACAAGAACACATATTTAGAGTAAGTAATGATTTTATTTCCCTTTGCAGTTAATTTAGCGCACTCACCTTGACTGAGGGTCCTCAAATCTGTGAGAACTAACTGAAAGCCTGAGGCAAAGTTTATTGTTGCTATGGTGATCGAGGCGCGCGCCTGAGCAGGACGCGAACGCAAATCAGACCATCAACAATAGAAGATGAACTTGAGCCTTATTGAAAGGACATTTCGCCATTATAACTTTAATTGTAGAGGAATAAATGCATTATTTCACCTAAACCAAAAAGCACACTACATGAATACCCACAGTGACATCCGCAAATTTATCTTGCAGTGAGTGACATTTGGTAACATAGCTTATATTTTTTTATTTACCTATTACATTACTGAATTGGAGAGGTTTGTAAAATATTTTAGGTCATATAAATATAAGGCGACGCAGTGGCGCAGTAGGTAGTGCTGTCGCCTCACTGCAAGAAGGTCGCTGGTTCGAGCCTTGGCTGGGTCATGTGGAGCTTGCATGTTTTATAAATGTGAAATCTTTAGGGAAAAAGGTGATAGATTAACAACTGTAGCTTATTGTCATTTATTAGGCAAATAACAAGCTGATCAGCACATTTAACTTGCCTTGGTTAGAAATTGACCAACTGAATAAAAAAAAAATAATTAAAACATAATAATAATAATAATAAGAAGAAGAAGAAGAAGAAGAACTTAGAGATTCACAATTATCACTTAATCCTCTTTTCTATGTTTTATCTTAATGCAATCTCTACATTTTAAATGATTAGTTTTCTTAAAGTGAATTTACAACTGAAAATAATACATTTTTTTAATAAATTTGACTGCCGGACTGCTCCATGATTGGGGATGGTGGATATTTTATTTTATAAGATTATTATTACATTAAATTATAATAATAATATTATATTTAAGTCTGTATTAAATAATATTTATGTAAAAAGTGTATTTGTTTGACACTTACTATACATATTATAGAAAACGATGTTATATATAGTTTATGGGTATAATTTATACTTCTAGATATTTATTGTGCCCCTGCCTCTAGTAGAAGTAGTAAATAGTAGCATAGCATATTATAGTAGTATATTATGGTATAGCGTCCTCCTACTACTAATAATATACCAATATGATTAATAATAATTCTGATAATAATGATAATGTTGTGCTTAACGCTTTCCAAATAATAAAAACAACAAGACAACAAATGTTCTGATTATGAAATGTATATGGACAAGGGACATGACAAGGTTATATCCCTTATATAATATATCCCCACAATACATAATATTGCGATAGTTAAAATGAAAATATTATAATTTTATTATGAAATACACAATAGTATAGTAAACTTTATAGTATACTATAACTACAGACTACTACTACTAATGGATTGTAATATTATAGTGATTATTGTTTTCCAAAACAAATTTTTATTGTCTAATAATATAGGCTGTGGAAAAGGTGATATTAAATAATATTGTTCATTAATATAAAAATTGCCAATTTTGAAAACAAAAATACATTTAATTGTTGTCGGACATCGCAAAAGAAGGTCCCCACATCCACCCACTGATACTCAAATAAACTATCTGGCAGAGCGACCGAGTTGCGTCGCGTCGCGCGCGCTCTGTAAAGGTGAGTTGCGTCGCGTCACGTCACAGCTCTACGGAGGAGCGCTCAGACACGCTTCACTCGAAGAAGAGCAAGAACGGGACACGCTGCAGGAAACTACCTCTGTTACGAGTTACATATTGTTCATTTGACGGATTATCTGAACATAAGCAATGCTTTAAAAATGATTCCACTGTTAAACATGAGGTTTACGAAGCTGTCTCTGTTCCGTGAATTGGGAATCTTCTGCCTTGTTCTGATAAACGCAGGGTGGTGCGCCGTTTCTGAGAGGAAAGGTAAGTGGAGTTGCTTCAACTGTCTCTGACTCTTATATATTACGTTCGGAATATATATAGGCTATTTATTTTGTCTGTAAAACTACAGTTCATAAACAAGACCCTTTTAAAATCCGTAAATGTAATAGCACATCAACATTTTGACTGTTAGTGTAAACAAACTAGAATGGATAGAATTAGCATCGTTAATAACATAAATTTATTATATAGACATTATATTATAAATAGTGTGCAAATTAAAGTTTATAAAGAATTGTAAAGTTTAGTTTCTTTATCAAAAACTATTTTTAAGTAATTTTCATAGGTCTCCAACAGGACCCAAATGCATTAAAAGGGATATATAGGGAAGTCGTTATCAACATGTAACACTTACACTAAAAAAAAAATATGTGTTTAAGCCCATACATTGACAAATACAATGTTGCTTTAAGTTTTTTTATTACATTACATTTACACTTTTTAACCCAATGGTTGGATTTGTCCATATTTGACCCAAAGTTGACCTGAAAATGCCCTAAATCAATCCGGCATTTTGTAAAGTTTGTAGAGCCATAAAACATGAATACTATGTACAGTGCTCAGCATAATTGAGTACACCCCATTTTGAAAATGTGTATTTTTATCCATTTCTAAACAAAGCAGATTTATTAAACAGATGTATTTATTAAAATAATATTTTTGTCACCAAACATATTTAGAAATTGACAGAGAAAACAATTACATTCAAGCTAAATATTGCAAAAAAAAATTTTATTATTATTTTTTTTTGCTTCTGATTTTTCCTCTTTTTAAAAAAAATTATTTATTATTTTTCTATGATTTACTAGTTTTTGAACCATTATAAGTTATTTTGTTAGATAAGCTCAAGATTTGGCTTCAGTATGTCTAATCTAAAGTATATGCATAAATATAATATTGTATACCTTCCTATTAAAAATATGACTTTGAAAGAAAGATTTGTGAGGGGTGTACTTACATATGCTGAACACTGTGAAAATATTATTTAAATTCTAATCCCATTACTATTCACTTAATAACTAATGACCCGAAAATAATCAAATCAATCAGAGAGCTGAGGTGGCATAAGCTGCAGGTTTGTCATTAACCCTAACAAGTGACCCCACAACAATATGTCAAAAGTGAAATGAAGTTAATTAAGTCTCAGACCTATTTAAATATACTTGATGAACTTTTGAGGCTGGTGACCACAGGATGAGGGCCAAGAGTTCAGCAAAAGCAGATGGTACCGCGAGACAGCTGCCCACTGAGTGAGGTCTGGGCCCTCGGCGTCTGCTTCTGACCAGCGTCTCTACTCAGGCAGACCGTGTTTAACATGCTGCGTGAGCTTTCTTGCCAGTGCAAAAATGGACAGCAGATGGTGGCCACCAACACAAAAACTGCACTTTGATTCGTTGTCAACAACTGGACTGAAATCAAACAGAACAATCAAACAAAAACAAAATCAATAGCGATTCGTGATTGTAGCATTAAAGCGTTTAAACATCACAAATGCAGTTTACATATATGGGCACTCAAATAAATAACTGTTCAAACTGATTATTTAGAATGAGTGGAAACATCACAATTCTTGAGATTTTTTTTTTTTTGAGACAACCTAATTGTTTTATGCTCAATCTACTTAAATTCGTTTAAACCAATTAACTTAACAGACTTGTGTAAGTACAACATGAATGAATTGTGTGGAACCCTGCCTTTTACACTTCATAATGCTGGGTTTCACACAATTTGTTTGTGTTGGGACGACATGAAAGGATTAAGTTGACTTATTAGATATACAAATTTAAGTGGGTTGAACATTAAACAATTAAGTTGTCCTCCCCACATAAATTTTGTTGTTTCAGCTCATTTTAAATAAGCAGTTTGAACAACAAACATCATTCTTCAAATGTAACAGTCAATGTTCAAATCATTTTGATGTACACTTATGACTACAGGCTGAATGTGTTAAATTGCTGTTACATGATAAGCAGCACACCTTTCACACATTGAACAGTTCAGCGTCATCAGGACATTCATGTCATACCATCTGCATATAATCCAGTGACGTATACAATTTTCAATCTGTAAATTGAATCTGTATTTCTTTTAATGTTCCAGCAGGTTAATAACGTAGTTAATACTGAATAAATTAATGCTGGGTAAAAAAAAATATTGGGTTGACCTTCCGGTATAATAAAGAAAAGTTGAGGTCCCACTTTACAGTACATTAGGTGGCCTTAACTAATATATTCTTACATTGAAATGAATTATTTGTTACGATGAACTTATTGTGTAAACACGTTTTTACATTACCTACGATTAATTAAACACCTGCATGTAATTACATCTGTAATTAATTTCTGTAATTACATTTTTAATTACACCCTTGACCATTTCTTACACCTCACCCCATCCTTAAACCTACCCACCAAACCTGTCCTTAACCCTACTCGCATCCCACCTCAAGAGCACCAGAAGTGTTCTACAATACAATATGAACACATTAAGTACATTGTATTTGTCTTTTGATGCAAGTATTTAGTAGTTAAGGCCACTTAATATAAAGTAAGGCCAGTTTTGACAGCAAGTGACATGCTGACATATATAATAATGCTTAAGTTAAATGAAGCACGGATGAATAATTATGATATCCAAACTTGCAATAGGACTTGTGAATATTCATAGCAATATTCACTGCAGAAAAAAAAAAGTAAGTGCAAGTACATCATTGTTAAGGCCACTAAATATAAGTGGGACTTGTTTTGATTTTAATTTGAATAAATTGACAGAAAAAGATATGCTGATATTTTTTAATTTTTTATGTAATAAGGATTGTGTTGTGTAAAGCTCGGATGAATAATTATGTTATCCACACTTCCAGCAGATTATGGCAAGTCTTAATGGGTAATTCACTTAATCATACATTCAAATGATTTGTTCAAAACAGCTGATTCATTTAGAAATGAACTAAATTACTTTTTATGAATGAATCATTGATTCAATTTGAAAAAAAAAAATGAGTCAATGATTGCTTTAGGTTAGGGTTGCACAAAATATCGTTTCAGCATCGATATCGCAATGTGCACGTTTGCAACAGTCACATCGAATTACTGTAATTTTACTGAATTCATACAATTTATGCAAAAAACAACAACTTTTTCTTACTTTTTTTTTTACTTTTTCCTGTTTCTAGCCCAAATGTCTACATTTCAAACCACAAACAAGGATAATTTTACTTACTTGATCTTACTTGATCTAAGAATTTTTAAATATTTGAACAAGAAACGAAAATAATTTTAGCATTGTGATATTCGATTCCTGTTCCTACTCCCCAGAAAACCATCAAACAGATTTATTCAAACTATCTTGTGAAACTGTATTCCTAATTTACATTGCAGATAAATAAAATCTCGCAATATTAGGTGTTTCCAATGTCGTGCAGCCCTACTTTGAGATGCACAAATGCTCAGACAATATTGGCCAAAAACCCAGCTTTCTCTATATTAACTTCTTATATGTTAAACTGGAGGAAAACTCTTGATTCTGTGATATCATTTACATCTTATAAACATAAATAAACAAAAAAATATATTTGTTTTTTTTATTTGCTGTCATAAAATGAATTACAGAGTGATTCTAACTGCAATTTAATAGGCTTCTCAAAGCATGTTAATGATAATGTACATTATGTCAGCTCGCACATCATTAAAATGACAATTATGATATTACAGGCGATAATTTGCACAGCCCTACCTACATAGAATGCATATTTGCACACTGTATAATCAATCTGAAGCAAATGAATATTCATCTTTTGCCTAATGTGTATAATTAAAAAGAAAAAAAACGTTCTCCTGTCGCAGCAGATACTTTCTCTTGCGAATAGCAAACACTGTCACGCTATCAAAACATTGCTCTGTTTGTTCAAACATCTCGATGAGCCCAATACTGCAACACAATTTCCACCAATGGCGTGAAGGTTAAGGCGGTATTTTGGTTATGTGGCCAATAGCAGTGTTCAAGCAAGTAGTGTTTAACTATTTGTTAAATTACATGCTGCACCTTTAATGACCTGTCAGTTTAAGTGTGCAAAGCCTTCTGGAGATGTGCTTGTGGTATGCATGTGTTAGCATAACCTGTCAAGCAGTGTCTCGGGGGCATCTCATACTTTGTTTCATTCCCACAGCCTGTGGCAGAAAAGAAAGAGGGAAATGTTAGAATAATATCTCAGAACAGTAAATGCGTTTGTTCAATATTAAGCTTCATTAACTGGAAGGTGAGCGGAGGTGTGGAGATTAATCGAAAAGACTTCCTTTAACAAGCAACAAAGCTAAATGCAGTAAGAGAACACCTCGTTGCTATCAGATCTTGCATCTGCGCACAGATTTCGTCATTTACATTTGGTGGCATGCAGAGTCAGGCCCAAATCTTGAGTTTGACTAATTATGTCATAACATTTATTTGGAACTGTTTCCTGCAGACCATTACTCATTACTGTATCACTTACTTTGGTCAAACGTGAATCAGATGCTGTGCGTTTTCACAGAATAACCTAGAATTATTCCATTTACAAGACAAGGAAGTCTTATTTTAGGCAAATGTTTTCCTTTGAAATTATACACACACTTCCAAAATTAGCAAGGTGCTTGGTCTAAAAGGTCAGAATCAAAGACTGAGATGTTTCATTGAAACAAGTTCTTCATCAGATAAACTCAAAAGGAAATGAAACTTACAGCGTTTGTGTCACATATAAGACCGTATATTTTTCAGGAGTTCACACTTAGCTGATAATCAATAAAGCGTATTTGGCATGCTGTCCCGGGAGAGAGCTCGTAATATCTTCGAGCCCGAGGCTCCCTCTTGTTAGAAAGGCGAGAGGGGAGTTCGAGCTCAGGTAGATCTTGAGAACTCCCCTGCTTGTCGCCGTGTGAGAAGTGTAAACTAAGGTTGTCTTGGGTGATAATTTGGTTTAGTCGATTGGCTGTGGTGTATGTTTTTGG